TTTTTTTTTTTTTTTTCTTTCTGCCAGCACAAACTTATTTTGGAGTTGTGTGTGATGTGAGGGAGAAGAATATTTTAAAGACGAGCTCACGGGGATGTCAACATCGAGCTGTTTCGCTTCCAGCCACTGCTGGGTGCAGAATCTGCAGCAGCAGATTCAGCTGGAGTCCCTGCTCCAGGACCTGGCAGTGGCACGTGGGTCCGAGGGAGGCAGAGGGCACAGCAGCCCGGGTCTGCTCGGCTGGGACCTGTCGCGTGACGGCCTCGCGGGGGCAGAAGCAGCGCGCTCCGTAGGGACGCCGCGGGCGTCTGGCGGTCGGGACACGCGCTGTGGCTTGGACGGACCTGGGTGGGCTCCTGGCTCGGCCGGTGGCCAGCGGTGCGGCTCTGCACGCTGTGCGGCCGTGCAGTGAGGAAGCGCTCGCGGCCCAGCGCCCAGCGGTACCCGCTACTGCGCCCACTGCCGATCTGCTTCTGGGAGGATCAGACGGAGTCCGACGGGTTGGCTCCTAGCTGTGCGCAGGGCAGCGGCGACCACGCGTCAGCGGGACTCGGCGACGATGGAAATTTCACATCTGCCCTGTTCCGGGTGGGGGCCGCTACCCACAGGTGGCAAAGGCGGCCATTGTCACCGAGGAAGTGAATTTTTAATCTTACTCAATCTTGAATCGACCTAAAATTAGAGTCATATGTGGTTTGTGCTTACAAAACTGGGGTCAGAAGCTGAGTGTCTCTGAAAAGCCAGAAGTGAAGGCATGCGCCGTTTTCAGCTGAGAAGGTGGGTGTCTTCTCTGCTCAGACCCTTTTGAACCTGAGCCATCTACTGAGTGGAGACTGAGTTCAGAGCTTCTCCGCTCCCTTTCTGCCCTCCCAGCTTTCATCATTCCCAGTCATGACTTAATGTCCCCTCTTCCTGAGGAACACGCCATATCCACGTCTAGCCCTTCCCTGGGCTCCCTTTTGTCTTCTCTATGCTGACAGCCAACTCCTAGTCACCTTTCAAGGCCCACTTTCAATGCTCATGTTTTTTGTTTTGTTTTGTTTTTGGTGGAACCAGGGATTGAACTCAGGCCCTTGTGCTTGCCAGGGAAGCGCTTATTCCACTGAGCCATCTCCCCAGCCCCTCAATGCTCATGTTACGCCCTGCCTCTCTTGGGGACTAAACGAGATCACACATGCAAAATGCCTAGCTCAGCACTATCCCATGCTGAGCAACCTCCGGCCTCTATCATGACATGCCTGAGTGACAGCACCCACAATTTATCTAGAGTTGCAAAACAGGACTCCTCCGAGGACACGTGCTGGAATGGGTATGGCCCAGCTGACCAACCGCACGTTTCTCTTTCCTCCCATCCCTGCTCCACAGGATTGGGGCTAGTTGTCCCATGTTCCCACCTGGGATGGAGGGATCTGTTTGTCTTAAGTGGCTCCATCATTACGGCTCTGGAAAAACCCCTCCTGCTGCCTTGGTGTGACAGGGGAGACCAATGTTCCCAGAGCCACCACACAGGTCCTTAGGTGATGCCCTAACTTTGGGGAGCACTTGAGCTCAGGTTCCAGCTGGGTTCAGCGGGAGACCCAGGGGTCTGTGCCCACAGGCGTACAGAGAGGCCTGTTTCCCTGGGAGCGCTCTGGCCGGGACTGCAGCCACAGACAAGGTTCCTTCCTGGCCAGAGGCAGCCCGCTCCCCTCCGGCCAGCTCTTGGGGTCCCCTCTCTGTCTCTACATAAGGTTAGGTATGAGCTTTGTTCTTACCTGGTGAGTCCTTCCTACTGCTTTTGGCAGAAACTAAATTCAATTCTTGTTTCTTTTTTATGAGCCGGATGATCATGCCCAGCCAGGCACCGCAACAGCTCCTCTAAAGTTCCCCAGAACCTTCACCAGATCCTTGCAGAGAGGCTTGTGGGCACCGCAGCCCCAGTGCTTGCTCAAGAGGGACAGGGCTCCTGGGCCTGG